CATAAACTGAGCAGTAAAAACAACAAATATTAGTTATCTCACAGTTTCTGATAGTCAGGAATCTGAGAGCAGTTTAGCCGATTGGTTCTGGCTCAGGGTCTTTCATAATGCTGTAGTTAAGTTCTCACCTGGCGCCATGATTGATTTAAGCCTTCACTCTGAAGAATCTACTGAGCTCACTCATGTGGTTGGTGGTCCTCAGTTCCTCATTAGCTATTGGTCAAGGTTTCAGTTCCTCCCCACAGTGTATCAGTTTACTTCTCCTGGAGAAAGAGATAGAGGCAGAGGCAGAGAGAGAGAGAGAGAGAGAGAGATTTCCCAGAATGGAGCTGCAGACTTTATTATCTAATTCTGAAAGTACCATACTCTTACTTTTGCCAAATGCCATTGGTCATATAAGGCAATTCTGGAAAAATGTGGGAGGGAAAACTCTAGGAAGTATCATTGAGAATTTCATAGGATAAACTGAGATTTATTCAACTCCAAAACCATCTTCCCCCTAGATTAAGAAAAAAACAAACAAACAAAAACAACACCTAAAACAAAACAAAAAACAATGCCCTTCTAGGCGTTATGAAAGAAATGGATTGAAAGTGATCATTTGTGTGCACAATTCACTCTCCTCATTTTTGTTTTGTGATCCCAAGTGAAATGGATTTGTTGACTATTACTACTTATATTTTTAGGGGGTAAAGACATTGTGTGCTAAGTTTCATATGCTTCTCTCCAGCAAAGAAAGCATTCCTGCATTAGACTCTTATGAATGCTTAGGGGTGGGGGATGGTAGGTTGTCTCTGACTGAGTGATCTGGAGCTTTTCTTGTTGGTTATGATCTCAATCAAGTGCCTGCTCCACCTCTTTCACTACTGAAGCTGATGACTCATCTCTCAACTATGCTCCCAACACCCACAAAATGAAGTAGTGGATTGAAGAAAACAACTGAGAAAAATAATTATGCGTGTGATCTAACACAACCTTATCCTTGTGGCGAATGCTATTTCTCCAGAGAAGGACCAGAGATCAAGTTTATAGTTGATTTTTACCTAGAACCCAACATACCTAAAGCTACACAAAATATATTTATTTATTCTTGTTTTTTAATCCTCACCCGAGGATATTTTTCCATTTTTGTTCAGATAGACTGAGAGGGACAGAGAAGAAGAAGCAGAAGAGAGAGAGAGTGAGAGAGAGAAACATTGACATGAGAGGGACACATCGAATGGTTGCCCCTCACACAACCCCAATCAGGGCCAGGGACAAATCGCAACCAAGGCACAAACCCTTGACAGGAATTGAACCTGAGACTCATTGGTTGCCAGGGCTGCTGTGATCAACTCTTTAAATATCTTTTTTGTAGCCCTGGCCGGTTTGGCTCAGCGGTTAGAGCGTCAGCTCTCAGACCAAAGAGCCTTGTGTTGGATTCCAGCCAAGGGCACGTACCTCCCTTGTGGTTCAGTCTCCGCAAACAAGTCAGGTTATGTGGGAGGCAACCAATCGATGTTTCTCTCCCTCCCACCCTCCCTCCCACTCTATCTAAAGATAAATGGAATATCTTTGGGTGAGGATTAAAAAATAAAAAGTAAAAAGTCGATCACAGCAGAATTAGCACAATGGTGAAATTATCTACAGAAATTGTTGCAAACTTTGGTAAAAGCTGTTCTGTGAAACCTTCCTTTTTTACAGGTCTCCGTTTTTGCTCACTGTACCAGGTTATAAAACCAAGCTTTATTCTACAGTGTTTTGTACCAGAGAGATTATAATCTGTGAAGAAAAAAAATACCAAAGTCATTACACAGTGAAAGGGAAGAGCATAGGAGTCTCTTTGGCCATTGCAATATTAAAAGAAGTAACGAGTCAAGTTGTGCTTTCCCAGAATATTTCTTTCCATTGATTGTGCAAGGATTCATCAATCATTTCATCATAGGGGAGAGGCTGATGAATCTAAATTTATGAGGGAACAGTTGTCCTGAGAACAGATGAAATCAGCAACCCAGGAAGCTCAGCAGGAGAGAGTCAGGACTCAAGGAAAAGTCTCTTCAGTGAATCAGGTCACTACTTAGTATAGATCAAGAGTTGGCTCTTATCCTTCAGCCTGGCACTTCCTGCTAAACTTTTGGAAATTCGCCAGTGTAGGAACGAACACTCCCCTCCTCCAGCAGTATGTGCTTCTTATAGGCATGAAACAGAATAAAATTCTCATCTTTTTGGGTAGCGAGGTAACTGCAATTAACTTGAAGCTCTTCGTTCTTATCTGTAGGACTGAGTATTTTTAGGAAATGTGCATGATACCTGGGCCCTCATGGGCAATGATTAGGGTTCAGAATCCTCCAAGTCACCCTTTAAGTGATGGCTGCAAAACAGTCACCCAGGGTGGGCCCCACTAAACAACTGGGGGGGGGGGGAGGCACTGCCACAACATGTGCCCGCCACCTCTGCCTTCTTGGTTCTCCTACCGGCCTTATTTCTTCCACCTGTAGACTTAGGAGTCCACCAACGTATCTGTCTCCAAATCCAACCTTATCTATATGATTAATAATTTTTACAACACGGAAATGCTATTATTACACTGTTAGATCAAAGCTTATACATTTCCCTAGCCGAGTCTCCAAAAATGACTACAAATGTGCTCCTTTTGTCAGAAAATTCTATTATTCTGCATTACCAAAATATTCTTCATCTTAAAAAATATTTCCCACATCTGCCCATTTCAGCTTTGACCAGCACATTGCTACCTGTCCTTCAGGTCCTTGTAGACGCTTCGGTTCCTCCATGATCCTCTAACTAGGTTAGTCCCCTCTGTCCTGTACCTTCATGACCCTGTCCATTTCGCTTTCTCACACTCATCCCTCTGTGGTACTATCTCTGCCCCAAAGGACAGCAGGCACACGAGTTACAAGGCAGCACCTGTCTCATTATCCTCCACTGCTAGCATGTCTGGAACCTTTTGGGCTCTTAATAAATACTTATGGAATAGTGCTAAATGACAGCTTCATGTTCCCTTTAATTAATGATTGTCATTAGTACTTTTCAATTATAATCAATTTTACCAAACATTGGTATACCCGCACACTTAACAGGAGCATAGAACTGTGCAGTGACAATACTACCTGCTCTTGGCATTGCAGGTACAGTTTAGAAAACTCTATTTTATCCATTCTTTTACTTGATTCTCACAATCACATTGTGAGGTCAGTAGGGTGGGCATTGCTATCCTTACTTGAGGCTCAAAGAAACTGAAGCTCAGACAGTTTTCTACCCCTGTAAGTGGGGAGCAAGTACTCACTGCCAGGGTCTGTGCTACTCCCAAGTCACCGTACTGCCTGGTGGTTAATAAACCCTTTCACCAGGGTTTTTCTACCTTACTTCCCAAAACTTGATTATATCCTTTTAATCCAATTCATTTACAATTGGGTTAATAGCTAACCTTTCATCCTAAATCAGTTCTACCAAACCACTGGCACTAAGAGATCATATCAGGGGCCAGGAGATCAGTAGCCTAGAATTCAAACTGCTTATTGTAAATTTCCTGCCCCCACCCCAAATATATCTTGCCAGTGTCACTGTTATTTTCTGACCTTACATCAGTGCACGGCACCATGCCAGCACATGAAGGACCTGCTACACACTGTTGTGGGTTCACACCAGTTCTCCATCACAAAGTGAGCTAAGAGACCATCGACCACGGAAGGTCCTGTAGGAATGTCAACAAAAAGGGACCTCTTTTATTTATTTTTCTTTTAGAGAGAGAGGAAGAGAGAGAAACATCCATGTGAGAGAGAAACATCAGTTGGCTGCCTCTTGCACACCCCCTACTGGGGATCGAGCCCACAACCCCGGTATGTGCCCTGACTGAGAATTGAACCGGGACCTTTCAGTCCATGGGATGACACTCAATCCACTGAGTCACACCAGCCAGGCAAAAAAAGGACCTCTTTTAGAACTGAATGATCATCAAAGGCCCTTGGTGGCTGAATTTCCATTGATTAGTGTAAGTGTTGCCTTTATCAGTCCTGTTACTTGTCCCTGTCATGTTACTGTGAGTGGACATAGGTGTTACTGAAACACAAAGTCTCATTGTTCCGCTTTGTTTCTATTTCCACGAACAAGTGAAAGGGCTGGGAGGTGAGTGCCAAGCCTCTCCAGGCTCCTTTACTGGACAGCTGGGGTCCTGACTGGGGGCGCTAAGGACTGACTGGTCTTTGGATATTCGAGTCATTATCACATCCTCCTTAAGAAATTGCCTTGTTCGTCAATTGCTGCTTTACCTAAGTTTGGCTTGGTTAGGGTTAATAAATGATTACTCCAGCCCCTTTCTATCAATTCTCTACTGAAATCTCTACAAAAAATTCTCTAGACACGCTCCTCACTCTCCATGGTGATTTTTGTAGCCTGTAGCTTCTAAGTCACTTGAATATAATAGGATTCTGTGGCAACACTGTCTCATCACTTTGCTTCTCGTCCTTATTATGCCTTATTATGTCTGCGATTCCTATTTGCAGAGTAGCTTATCTTGCCTTTTTAAATTAAGAGACTTACGGTAGCCTCTAATTCTCTAGCAATTTCAAATGTAGATTAAACTAGATAAGACAATTTTAAGTAATCAGTAATGTGTGATTACATTTATGTATTGCACATGTTTCTAATTAGAATTCAGAGAATTAAGTAAAACCTGCTTCTTCACAGGGTTTCATTCTAATATTCATTAATGAAGAAGAATCAAATAAAGTGATTTTGCTCCTAGAATGATTGGGTATGGAAAACCAAGTGTGAAGGGGACCAACTTGCACTATTTATACAATCTTTCAAAGACCATTATTACTTCTCATAGAGAGGAAAAAAACCAGTGGCTTTATCAGTGCCATGTGAAAGTCACTTTCGTTTTAATCTTCCCTTCCCTTCCATTCTGGGGAAGTACAAATTAACCATATAATGTGTATATTATTAGTGGGAAAAAGAATATTTCTCTGATAATGAATCTCACATTTCTCTCGCTTTTACAGTAATAAGCGACTGGTGGCCGTAGTGCCCATGCCCAGTGACCCTCCGTTCAACACCCGAAGAGCCTACACGAGTGAGGATGAAGCCTGGAAGTCATATTTGGAGAATCCCCTGACGGCAGCCACCAAGGCGATGATGAGCATTAATGGTGATGAGGACAGCGCTGCTGCCCTGGGCCTGCTGTATGACTACTACAAGGTAGACCTGCAGCCCCACCTCCCTCCTCCTCCTGCCCCCAGGGCCTCCCCTCAGTGGTGGGAACAAACAGAGAACATATCGTGTTTCTACACTCCTGTGGAGTTCAACCTCTTTCTGTTCTCATTGTCTCCCTGATTGCTCATCAATGAAGCACAACTTCCCATCCACCAGAGGAAGTTTTCACTGGGAACATTTACTTCTGTGTTCTCTGTTCACATGCATACCTATTGTTTACATATAATTCCTACTTCATGTCACATTGCAAATACTTTTACTTTATGATTATTATTTTTAGTAACTAAAGAATATTACATTGTGTCGCTGTACCATAATTTAGTGATCGCTCAGTTGTTGGCCATGAAGGTTGCTTTTAGATTTCCATTTTATAAGAATATTCAGGGGTTCTAGACTTTTCAGTTTTATAAGTAATATTTCAATGAATGCTTTGGGATAGACTTTTGTAGCAATTCCAAAACCTAATATTGTTACAACCCTAATGGCCTTCATTTGTTTTGATGGTACTAAATATTTTGAAAAACCCTTAAGATAAAATAAATGTAATACATTTATATTACAAAAATACTGTCCTATGAATCCTTCAAAATAGTATTTCAAGAAATCAAACAACAAACAATGGTCTGTCTCAACTATAAAGGACTGTATATCTGGTATGACCTGCTCCCTTAGAACTAGTAAAGTGTAAAATATCAACAAATATTTACTGAATGAGGAGAATTGTTGCCTGCTTTGATTGTAAACCCCATTGGCTAATGCTGGGAATTGGCTCAAAGGTGAGGATGTTGATGTTTATTTTGCTGGTTGGACACAGTAAACTTTTTATTTTAGAATAAGAACCGATTCCCTACATCCCCTCTCCCTCTATTGTGAGAAAATAGCCGAAGAGGAACAGTTTTCCTTTAAGTAAGTTTCGCTCTCAGTTTCCTATTTCCTTCCTGCTCACCATTTCCTGTTTCCATTCAGCAGTCTCCACTTTTCAAAGTTGTGTTGGTCCCTGTTGCTTTCTTAACCCAGAGTTGTCATGCTTTCCAAAGATCTCCCATGGCCATCAGCTCTGGGACTGCTCCCAGGCCCACTCTGCCACCAGAGTGCCCTGCAATCACTCACTCCTCTTTTGCTTCTTCCCCTTTTCCCCACAAAAACACCCAGGAGGGCTCCCTCTGTGGGGAGATGAATGAAAGCCAAGCCAAGTTGGCCTTATCTAAGATGCAAAACAAGGTATGAGTAATTTACATGTCAGACCATTTAGGGAATATTAAATGAGGATACTTTTAACTCAAATAAATGAATCTTCTATTATTAGAAAGTGCTGGAGAAATAGATGGAGGATATTCTGCTGGTACCTTTACCAGTCTATGCTGATTTTCTTACCATAAAGCAGATCTGGCAGATTTGATAGCCCTCTTGTGAAGGTGTAAAACTTCCAGCATGGCTCCTGGCACGGCAAGAGGGACTTTAAATTTGGGGGCTTAGGCTCTCAATGAAAGGATGTGTTAGGGTCTAAAGTACATTTCATGTAAGTAGGGAAGTATCCTCCAGTGAACAGGTAGCACCTGAAATAAAAAAAATAAAAAGAGCCTGGAAAACAAAGATGGTTTCATGGTAGGGTTTTTCTTTCTCTGTGGTTGTTTTATACTTTTAACTCTTTTTTAAATGAGGAGCTCATTTGAAAAATGGGAAGATGAATTCTACATGTTTTGGAGTGAAATTTTCAAAATTTATTGAGGATGGCACAGAAACATAGAACGTATCAGCTAGACTGCCTTGTGTACGAGGCCAGCTCTTGAGGGTTCAGCTTCATGGGATGTGGTGGTAATACATAATGTTCGGAAACGTTCTCATCTTTAGAAAGCAATCATGAGCAGTTTCCTTTATGATAAAAAATAGTTCAAACTCGATAGTTTTATCGGTTTTAAAAACCTATTAGCACATCGTTAAAGCGGCCCCTATCAAGTCACTTGGGTCATCACAACTTCTTTTTGTAACTTTTATAACTATATTAAAATAATGTTTGTTACTAGTTTTATATGGCTTGGAGGAAATATATTAGGATATATTTTAAAGAAATACAGTTTTATTCTTATTTATTGTTCTATTTTTAAAATAGATTTTATCCATCACTGTGAAATGGTCTTAATTTCATCTATCTTTATTAGATGGCAATTGTTTTGTATTAATGAAAAAGACAAACATATATCAAAACAAAAATCATTAGTAATTTATGAAAGTAATGTATTTTATTTCCCAGAGAATAATTAATAGTAAATATGTCATCTGGATTACTTCTCCTCTTCTACATTTTTAATATTTAAAGGAGTTGAAATATTACTTTCTGTAAATATCTTGAGAGGCAGAGTAGGGACTTTACATAAAACTCAATTTGTAGCCAGGTCTATAACTATTCTCCATGATTAATTTATTAATTTAGGATATAAAATATTTAAATAAAATATTTTCTAAGAAGTTGTATATTAATATAATAACATGGCTTCTTTTATTTCATATAAACTTTACTATATTTTTCTTGGAACATTTTAAGTAAGAAAGAATTAGTCTTGTTTCCAAAAACTTTGTGTCCAAAGTTTTCAGGCCTTACTCTTAGCCCTTTGGATGTTCATAGCTTATATGTGCTGGTGTTAAAGTTATAACAAAGGTAAATCTACCTTGATGATACCTTCTTTGTATAGTAAAATACAATGTTAATGAAACAGTTTGTATTTTGAGGATAAACTTTGGGAAGTCATTGTAACAATTCTCACCACTTTATTATTTAAATTCTATACACTCAGTACCTTTTTTGAATGCCATGCGATTGTTTCTGTAATATGCATCATTTTTCCTTCCTCCTAAGGTTGCAGTGCATTATCCGTAGGGGACAGTGGGGGGTTTTGCCAGAGAGGAGAGTATGTGGCACACAGTGGGCACTCAAGAAATGGTGTCCCTGTCCTTAGAAGCTGGCAAAGGCATATCAGAGTGTACTATTTTATACATCTGAAAGTCTTTTGAAAAAAAACATGCTTAATTCACTTTATCTATTTACTTTTTTAATACAATTATGTAGTGGCCACAGCTGGAACGTGGATCCTCTGCACAGAAACTGTGTGTGGGTTTTGACAAGGAGGTCAGTGAATTCCCGATGGGGAGACTGAACAGTCTCTTTCCAGAGCTTGGCGATGAGGTAGCTGTGGGTCTCAGAGGTGGCCTTGGTGACGTTGCCCAGGGGGCAGTGCAGCCCCTGCCAAGTTGTAGCCATTGTGGATACGGAGCATCGGCAGTAGCCTCTTGAGCACAGCAGCCCAATCCTCCACCCAAGCCCCTGCGGCCTCCCGTTCCAGGGCCCTCAGGGGCTCCAGGCCCTGCCACAGCACCTGTGCCATCTGCCATTTGGTGTTTCCTGGGAGAAGAAATCAAAGTCTTTTCACCTGCATTTGTAAACTGTCACCATAGGATTACTGCAGCGAAGCCCACCATGTTTTATGTTTTATCGTTCAGGCAACTAAGTGAGACTAACTCAAGGTCACAGGTCAGTCCTGTATGTTTCCCAATGTCTATTCCACTACACTGTATTAGTCTGCTCAGGCTGCCGTAACTGGGTGGCTTAAACAACAGATTTCTTTTTCTCAAGTTCTGGAGGATGGAAGTCTGAGATCACATGCTGGTAGGGTTGGTTTCTGGTGAGACCTCTCTTACTTCTTGCTTGCAGATGGCATCTTCTCGGCGTGTCCTGACATGGCCTTTTCTCTGTGTGAGTGCTCCCGGTGTCTATTCCTTTTCTTGTAAGGACTCCAGCCCTACTGGAATAGAGCCCCACTCTTATGACTTCACTTAACCTTAATTACCTCTTTCAAGTCCCTGTTTCCAAATACAGGGGGTTAGAGCTTAAACTTATGAATTTTGGGGACACACCGTTCAGTCCTGAACACTGTTCGCCATCAAAAAAATTCCTTTTTGAACTTCTGGGCAAGGTGGTGGCATAAGTAAATGCAGTACTCGCCTCCTCCCACAACGACATCAAAATTACAACTGTGTTACAGAACAAGCATCATGCAGAACTGCCTGAAATCTGGCTGAATGGAAGTCCCACAACTAGGAAGTTAAAGAAGAAGCCATGTCCAAATCGGTAGGAGGAGCGGAGACGTAGAACAGTCTGGTCTCACACCCACATGTGGTGGATAAAAATCGGGAGGGATATCTCAGCTGCAGAGGTCTCCTCTGAAAATCAAGGGATCCCAGCCACACACTAGCCCCCCAGCCCAGGGTTTCAGGGCCAGTAAAAGAAGTCCCCATATCTTCTGACTGTAAAAATAAGAACGGATTGAGGCTGAGGGAGACTGAGGCTTCTGGAATCCAAGGCAGTTCTTAAAGGGCCCACACACAGACTTGCTCAGACTCACTTCCTCTTGAGTTCCAGCACTGGGCAGCAGCTTGAAAGGCACCAGAGGCATATAAGGAGGAACTGAATTGTTCAGCTTCAGGGCCAGAGAGCTGGCAGGGTAGCTGTCTCCCAGACAGAAGTGCTGGGAGGGGCCATTGTTCCTTTGATGCGCCCTCCCCCACAGAGCTGGCAGCTGGGCACTATATCTGAGACTCCATCAACCTGGCTATCACTGTTCACCCCACCCTGGTGATTCACTGAGGCCCCACCCCAGCCAACTTTCAAGGCTCACCCAAGCTGTTTCTCGTGGCTTTTCCATATGAATGGCCTGTCTTGGCTCATGCTTTGGATTTTCCTAAAATTTCTCAAACAAGCAGCATCTGGCCTCAGCTTGCCCTGCACCTCTTGGTAAGTGGCTCCAGTCCCAGCACTCACAGCAGCCGGTCTTGGTTTGCAGCTTGGCCTCACCTGGACACCTCCAAGCCCATACAAGTAACAGCCCTCTGAAGATCATTGTGTAGCTCATGCCGAGTGGCACTGGGCAGGGCACAGGTGGTGGTTGACTTTGGCCTGCACCTCCCAGGAGACCCCAGAGCTAGTGTACACA